ATGTTCTCTGTCTCCTGGTTGGTCATGAATTCTTCTGTTCTCCATAAATCTGATAGGTGAACTATTCCTTGTTCTCCCAGTTTGCTTACAATATCAGCCTTTATATCTAAATCATGAACACATTCTGACTTTATTTTGGTATCTGGTGTGAGATTTGGGTCTATGCCTAGTTTCTGCCATGCTCTTTTCCAGTTTTCCCAGAACTTTTTGTCAAATAGTGAGTTCTTATCCCAGAAGCTGGGGTCTTTGGGTTTATCAAATAATAGATTGCTATAGTCATTGACTACTGTGTCTTGCATATTTAACCTATTCCACTGATCCATAACTCTATTTCTTAGCCAGTACCAAGCAGTTTTGACGATTGCTGCTTTATAATATAATTTAAGATCTGGACTGGCTAGGCCACCTTCCCCTGCATTTCTTTTCATTAGTTCCCTTGATATTCTGGACCTTTTGTTATTCCAAATGAATCTTGTTATTTTTTCTAACTCTATAAAATAATTATTTGGTAGTTTGATTGGTATGGCACTGAATAACTAATTAGCTTAGGTAGAATTGTCATTTTTATTGTATTAGCTCGGCTCACCCGTGAGCAACTGATGTTTTTCCAGTTATTTAGATCTGACTTTATTTGTGTGAAAAGTGGTTTGTAATTGTGTTCATATAGTTCCTGGGTTTGTTTCAGTAGGTAGACTCCTAAATATTTTATAATGTTTACAGTAACTTTAAATGGAATTTCTCTTTCTATCATCATATCATCTGCAAAGAGTGATAGCTTGGTTTCTTCTTTGCCTATTCTAATACCTTCAATTTCTTTTTCTTCTCTTATTGCTAAAGCTACAGTGGTGATAAGGGTGATAAGGGACATCCCTGACAAACAGGCAATTTTCTTTCTTTTGGCAATGGGGGTTAAGTGACTTGCCCAGGGTCACACACCTAGTAAGTGATATGTGTCTGAGGCCAAATTTGAACTCAGGTCCTCCTGAATCCAGGGACGGTGCCCTATCCACTATGCCACCTAGCTGCCTCCAACAAACAGGCAATTTTCAAAGGAATAAATTCAAAATATCAACAACCACATGAAGAGAAAAAACAGAAAGGTAAAAAATTCGAAGACTAAGAGGGAGTCAATTCTGCAACAGTTAACTAAAATATGGCCTATAAATGTAATATTACTAAGCTATAAGAAACAATGAATTGGATAATTTCAGAGGAAACTGAGAAGACTTCTAAAACCAATGAAGAACAAAGCGAGCAGAACTAGAACAATTTATATAATGACAACATTATAAAGGAGAAACAACTTTGAAAGACTCTCAAACTCTGATCAATGAGATGATAAACCATGAATCCAGAAGACTGAAGGTGAAACATGCCACTCACATTCTGGCAGAGAAGTAATATAATTAATGTGGGAATCTGTTTTGCTCGCCTTCACATGTTCATGAATTCTATGTTACATATAAATTTTTAATATATTAACATATTATCCAGATAGTATTATTTAAACATCATGTGTTTAATAAAAATATTATTTTGAAACACATATATTGAGTTATATATTGCTTTTTGAGGTTTTGTTGATGTTGTTAAAATAGGGTGAAGTTTTTAAAAGAAAAAAAATTTTTTTAAAGCTCCTTTAACCTATAATTAAATAGAATGAATCAAGTTCCCTTTGTCATCCCAGTTAACTTCCTTTGGATACTCTGGTATTATCAATGTCTTTCCTAAAATGTGTCTTCTAGAACTGAACACAATACTCCAGATGTAGTCTACTGGGGACAGAATACATTAGGACTACCACCTTTGTCCTGCTCTCAATGCAGCCTGAGATATCATTAGCTTTGATCTCATAATTCACACACACACACACACACATACACACACACACACACACACACACACACACACACACAAACACGTATACACATACACACACACTAAACCAGCATAGGTCTGCTTCAACTGAACAGCTCTCTAGCCATGCCTCTCCCTTCTGGTACCTATGAAGTTGATTTTTTTAAGCCCAAAGGTAAGATTTTAAGCATTTGTCCCTATTGAATGTCGTCTGATTAGATTGAACCTACTGGTCTAGCCTGCTTAGCTTTTATTGGATGCTGTCATCCTGAATTACTTATCTCTACTCCTACCTTTCTGTCATCTGAAATTGTGCTAGGTATGCCATCTGTGCCTCACCTAAGTCAGAAATAATAAAAATGTCAGCACAAAATAGATAGGTTTTCCACTAGAGACTTCCCTTCCACAATTAAAACTTCTTTCTTTGATCTCTTTGTGATGTGAATCTTGTAGTGCTGATGATAGTATCATATAGCATTTCAAGTAAGAAGATCATAGCTCACTTGGATTTGGAAGGGATCTTAAAGTAACTTCTAGTCCAAAGCATGTATGTTATATATAAGGAAAATAAGGCTGAAAGAGGATAAAATAAGTTGGCCAACAATAAGGGCAATAAGGGGAGGAGATAGAAATCATCCCCAAATCTTCTAACTCTAATTCAGTTCTTTTTTCATAAGAGTGCTTTAGTAATAATGCCGTATCTGGGCTGCTTATGCAATTCTATTTTAGGTTTGGTTTTCTATCACCATGGAGCATAAAATGGCATTCATATTTTTTAAATTATGGTACCAGAGATAATAATATCAACAAACCTCATTTGGAAAAGTCTGAAGAAGTTAACATATTTTTTTAGTCTTTTTTCTAGGTATGCAGTGTGTTCCTAAGGTCACTCACGCATCATGAAAGCTGTCAGAAAGTGTGAAGGCCCTTACATTGATCAATATTCTGGGCAACTTGCATACAATTTTTAACATTTAAAAATTTCACTGTCAGTAGGACATGAGTTTGTATTTCACAACAGTGACACTGGGGGGTATGCTTAGTTCTATACCTTTATCTGGGTCTCTCAATGATGGTTATTCAGTACAGAAAGGCTGACCAGAATTATATACAGTGTGTTTTATGGTAATTGAAGAGTTATTCTATATAGCTTCCTCAATAAACGCTGTTCTTTGTCATTTCAGAAGACACTGTAGGACAAGAAACCCAAATATGCTGTATAAATTGATGACATTCTATTTATAAATCTAGGAGCTAACACTGTGTACTCATTGCTTTCATTACCATGTTGAATATCTATTGGTGAAACTATAATCTGATCCATGAATTCTGGAAAGCAATTTGGAACTATGCCCAAAAAAACCTATTCAATTGTGTGTACCCTTTGAGCCAACTAAACCACTACAAGATTCACATCACAAAGGAGTCAAAGAAAGAAGAAAAGGACCCATATACACACAAATATTTATAGCAGCTCTTCTTGTGTTAGCAAAGAATTGGAAACTGAAGGGATATCCATCAATTGGCGAATAGCTGAACAAGTTGTGGTATGCTTGTGATGGAATACTACTGTGCCATAAGAAATGATGAAGAGGTTTCAGAAAAACCTGGGAAGACTCATATGAACTGATGCAAAGTGAAGTGAGCAGAACCAGCAGAACAATTTTTATTGTAGCAATATGGCAAAGACAAACAACTTTGAAAGACTTAGGAACTCTGATCAACACAATAACAAACCACGATTCCAGAGGATTTGTGATGAAATGCTTTCCACCTCCAGATGGTGAGGTGATAGACTCACATACTGAGGCGTTTGGAGTTTGTTTTTTGTTTTTTTGGACATTGCGAACAAGAGAATTTGTTTTGCTTGATTTGTATGATTGTAACAGGGGTCTTGCTTTTCTTGTTTTCTCAATGTGGGGAAGGGAGGAGGGAGAGAATGTGGACCTGTTACATGTGATGTCTACATTAATTTATCTGTGTACATTAATAGTGGCCCAGATCTGAAGTGAATGTTAGGTAATGGGTACTTCAATGAATTCATGATCTCAAAGACGTGAACACTCTCTCTACAACTACAGATTAAATCCATCCATGCCTGTGATTAATCACAACAGTAACAAAATTAATAAACTGAAAAACATACGGTTTATCAATAACAATGTGCTCATGGAAATGCAACTCACTTCTGCCTTCCAACCCAAGTGATGAAGGGAGAAATAATACAGAAAATCTGGAGAAAACTACTAGAACACATCTCTATAGAAAAGTTTCTTTATCAGCTATGAAGATGGCATCTGGCCTAACAGAGTCCTCAAAACATTAACCAAAATTTCAGTTCACTATTAACAAGGCCATGCATGCTTTGCTTTAGGAGCAAAATCTTCAGAATGGAATTGAACAGTGGGAATATAAAGGTAAGACGGGTAGAGAATAATAGAAACTGCATTGTATAGCAATTGCTGGATTTAGTACTTTTTGTTTGTCTTTCAAACTGATTGCTTTTAAGTACCACCCCCTCTTTAAAAAAAAAAAGGGGCTACACTTAATATCCAGTGTTGGAATGGTCCTACTTTCCTGAAATAAAACAAAAAGTGTTTTCTGTGAACATTCCTAGAATGGTATGATTTAGGGTACTAAAATACACTGTACAGACTAAAGGAGAAACACTATATAAAACAAAACAAAAACAATTCTAAAATACACTTGACATTCAGTTTATACTTGCTAAAGACTACTTATTTTACATTATTATAGTGGATTTTAAGGGCTTTTATCAGCCTAGACTAGTTTCTGGCCAACTTATTACACAAATGGAAATGCAGAAAGTAGTTAAAGCATGGTTGATTGATATTCTATATAATACTGGTCACCCAAGCAACCACTTAAAACCTGGCAAATTGTAGAACCTTTACTCTGTCACTGTTTAAAGATTTTTTTAAAGGACAATAAAAAGCTATCTTCTAGCCAAGATATGCTATGGAAAGTGTCTTTAAAAATACTTTTGCATTAATCAGGGAAAATGGAGAAGGTCTTGAGGCCTAAATGGAACTTGCTATCAAGTGAAGCTATCATGTGGGAATATTATTATATATTTGCCATCCATGCATTATTTATTTTAACAAAATATGTGAGCAACTTACCAAATCCAGGAACACTTTTGAGACTGGATTTGAGGCAGATTTTCTCTAGTCTGAGGTAGCTATATCGCAGCAGGCAATTCCACAGAAACATCCAATCCATTCTTGTCCGGTGGTTCATAATAATAACAGTTCTTTCCCCAGGAACAAAGGCATCGCCTGTTATAATCACTTTTACACGAAATATGGTCTCCAGCAAAGCCTAAGAAAAAAATCAATTCAAAATCACAACTTCATGCCAGAAACAATCACAAATAAACAGGACAGCATTGAAAATTCTGTGCTGAACTTTTTATATAATTAAAAAGAAAAGCAAGCTATACATAACAGAGATTCAGTTTCACGTATAACTGTTTTCTGTTTTACAGCATACGTGGAAATGCTAATTATATTTAGTGCTTTTTAAGTTCAGAATAAAAAAAGAGGAAAAACGGAAATATAGGTGACATAAAAATTTTGAAATGTTAATTTCTATTAAAAATAATAAAATAATTACTTCTTTAGGACATATCAAAAGCATGTATTTATCTTCATAACTTACATAACATCATAGACAACTTAAGTCTAATAAGGACAGACAGCTTTTTTTTTTTGAGGCAATGAGGGTTAAGTGACTTGCCCAGGGTCACATAGCTAGTGAGTGTTATGTATCTGAGGTCAGATTTGAACTCAGGTCTTCCTGACTGCCAGTGCTCTATCTACTGTGCCAACTACCTGCCCCTCGACAGCTTCTTCTAAGAGAAAAAAACAATTAATGGATAGAAAAGAGACCTAAAATACATTCATCCCAGCCCCTTGCAATTACTATCATCTTGATCAAGTTACTTCACTTTAACTTCAATTTCCTAACCTATAAATTTTACTTTCCTCTACTGGGTGTTATGGGCCAACTGGCTACTAGCTATGACATGGCATAAGGTAGGCATTATGAACTTCAAAATATTGGGCTCATAAGATCGTAACATAGAGTTGGAAGGAACCTCAGAAGTCATATAGTCCAACTGCTTTATTTTACAGATAAGAACAATGAGGCCTAGAGAGATAAAGTGACTTGTTCAAGGTCACAAAAACAGGGCCAGGGCCAAGATGTGAACTAAAGTTCTCTAACCAGAAATTCAGTCCTATGTCCATGATTAGAAGTTAAATCCACAAATATTTAAAAACTTAACTTAGTTTTGGCTCTTCTACAAAACTTAGTAAAATTTCTTAACATGCAAAAAAGCAAGTTGTTTATCTTTTACCCAGCTATAAGGGATTCTATCAGGTAAGGGAACCGGCCAATGTAAAAAAAAAAAAAGATAGGAGAGTGAAAGCAAGGGCAAGGATCATCTGTGCCTGACATTTTCCAGTACTGAATGTACAAGATAAGATGGCAATCAACAAAACATGGCAGAATGAGTGTCTGTGAATCTTTCTTATACATGGATTTGGTGCTATTATTATTTAAATCTGGTGGTATTACTCCTCTGCTCAAAAATCATCAGTGGCTGCCTGGTGCCCACCAAATTAAGTTTACGCTTCTCTGCTTAGCATTCAACTCCCACGAGAGTCTACTACTACCCTGCCTTTCCAGCATTATTTGACATTATCTCTCCCCACCACCACTTCCTCCTCTAACACACAAAAACTTTTAATTTTAGTCAAACTGCACAAATCTCTGATCACTGAACATGCTCTCTGGTCTCTGTAACTTCACCAACCAGTTCTATAAATCAGCCATGTCTATGATATCTTTTATTTATCTAATGAATTCCTAACCAAGCCATCAGAGTGCCTTTCTTCTCTTCTACACTGTTTTCCATATCTCTCCACATTACTATAAGAGAGTCCTCATTTAAAATGAAGAGAGATGTGGGAGATTAAAGTAAAGTACTACTACACTCTTCCACTGTATTGCCTGTATTGTCTGACTGTCAAATATATGCCCCCACTCTTAGACATACTAAACATCCTCAATTTCTTTCAAATGTTTCTCAGACCAATCAACAAGCATTTATTAACCACTTTCATATGCCAGGTACTGGGGTAGGCAATAGGGATACAAGTAAAAAGTATGTAATGATCCTTATTCAAGTTTACATTCTCTTGCAATAGACAAGCCAGTCCTTTAGACCCTTCCCTGTAATCCTGACCTATAGGGGTAGATTCCATTGTTTCTCAAATTTATTACCTTTATAAATTTCATATAGGACCTGAAAGCTAGATGGACCTCATTCTTGTAACTAGTTACCTAATCTCACCCAATTTACTTGGATCTTTTGAAGAAAGCACAGTCAAGCACTTTAAGATTACACAAACCTCTAATTCTCATGCCTAGTTTCTCAGGTACAGACTTTATATGACATTTCTGATATGCAAGGGTATAATAATGATATATTTCTTTTAAAAAAATTGTTTTTATTTATGCCTTCTGACCCTACATTACAGGAAACTAATATCTCCACCACTAAACAAAGAAAAATAATCAAATAAAACTAACCAACAAAGTGACTGTTTGAGAGAGTGAATCCACGCTGCCCCTACACTATTCCACCTCACTTAGTATTTGTTCCATAGAAGAAAAATGTCATGCCAATCAGAGTCGGTCTGCCTGTCAGTGTTATTTTGACTTACACTATTGCAATCATTTTGTGTAATTGTGCCTACTTTACTTTGTCTCAATCCCTAGTCTTCTCATGTTTCTCTGAACTTCTCATCTTCAAATTTGTTATGGCACAATAATATTCCATTACAATTACATACTCCACAATTTGTTTAACCATTCCCCCTCAGTGACTACTTACTACTTTTTCCCAGGTTTTTTCTACCATAAAAAACTGCTATGCATATTTTAGTATATAAAAAGTTATTCTCTTTGACCTCCTTGCAGTATATATGTACTGTAGTGGGATTGCTGAGACAAAGAATATGAACAGTTTAGTGACTTCACTCACAAAATCTCAAACTGTTTTCCAGAATGCTTAAAACAACTCAGCTCCAGAAAGAGTATAGTGGTCTGTCAATTTTCCCATTGCCCTACCAATGCATACTATTCTCATGATCTTAAAATAATTTACTATTTCTATGATTTACTCTTTGACCTACTCATTACTCATTATTCAGGAAGTTAGTCTCCAGTTATATACACAGTCTATATCTTTTGCTTGAATTTCCTTTACTGAATACAGTTTTTGTTGAATTATGGTTTGAAACAAATAATAAAACAAAAACTACCAGGCTGCTTGGCCTAGCAGACTTTATCTTTTGTTTCCCACAGCCCTGAAGGCCAGGCCAATTTTAATATAATAAAAACTCCAAAGACAGCTCCAAACATATCTTAATGATGCCACAGGAATGGAGTAGTCAACATGAGCTAGTGTGGCCTTCACTCCTCCCAACATCACAGAATAAACCAATACAAGAAGATCATAGAACTCTTTCAACAACATATATTGAGACTTTACATTCACCACTGTTAATACCAGATAGGATACCTTCTATTCAATAGCATTTATAGAACCTATAAGGTCAGAATAACAAAAATATGACACAGGGAAAGAGATTTTTATAAAGAGGTTAGAATCTAAACAATTCTTAAATCTAAACAGTTCTTAAAAGTACTAGAAAAAATTTAATGTTCTCTTATTCATTTGACTTATAGCTTCATGTCATCATAGATTAGAGCTGGAAGGGAACTTAAGAGGTTCCTGATTCTAACCTCTTGATTTTACAGATAAAGAAACTAAGGCATAAAGAGTTTAAGCAACCTGTTGATCACAGAGGCAGTATCAGGATAGAAAAGTTCACTAGTTCAGAAAGAACAGACAAAGGACCTTTACATAAGATTTGTTTCTTTAGATTAACACAGAAGCTCAATGAGATAGAAATCTTTAACCTACCAAATCACCTACCTTCTTGTTCTGGAGTGGAGTCTTCTGAGTCTCCTGCCAAGCCAGTAGGGATTCAGTCTGATTAATTACTATCTAGAGTCCCCTTTTCCAGGGGACTTTATCATTTCATCATATAATTTTAATCATTCTGCTTATTTGATATTGAAGCATAAAGGTATACATTTCATTTCTTGACACCTTTACCTACCCATTGTGTATTTTCTATGTTCAAACAGAGGCGAAAAAGGCATCATCAGCATGGCTGTTTAGACACAGTATACCTTCAATCAAGGTTTTCACATATGTTTTAAGACATGGTCTACAGAAACATATTATGTGAATTGCAGTTTAACTGGTCATAAGAAGGGACAGATTATGAAATAACTAGGGCTTAGAATAGGATAGGGCAATCAATTAATAAACATTTATTGAGCACTATTATGTGTCAGGCACTATGCTAAGTGCTGGGGATACAAAAAGAGGCAAAAGACAGTCCTTGCCATCAAACAGCTCACAGTCTAATGGGAGAGACAACATGGAAACAATATGCACAAAACAAGATAAATATAGGATAAATAGGAAAATAATTAACAGAGGACAGGTGTTAGAATTAATACAAATGGCTAGGAAAGGCTTCCTGTAGAAGATATTATTTTAGTTGGGACTTAAAGGAAGCTAAGGAGGTCAATAGTCAGTGTGTAGGAAGGACAGCATTCCAGGCTTGAGAGACAGCCTGGGAAAACGCCCAGAGCTGAGAGATGGAACGTCTTGCTCATGGAACAGGTAAGAGGCCAGTGTCTCTGGATCAGAGAGTACATTTCAGGGAGTGAGGTATAGGAAGACTAGAAAGGGGATAGGTTATGAAGGGCTTTGAATGACAAACAAAGAATTTTGTATTTGATCTTATAGGCAATACGGAGCCACTGATAGGGGGTGACATGATCAGGCCTACACTTTAGGAAAATCACTTTAGTAGCTGAATGGAAGATGGACTGGGAGTGGGACAGACTTGAGGCAGGCAGACCCAACAGCAGGCTACTGTAATAATCAAGGCGTGAGGTAATGAGGTGCTGCACAAGAGTGGTAGTAGTATCAGAGGAGAGAAGTGGGTGTATGAGAGATGTTGCAAAGGTGAAATCAGCAAGCCTTGGCACAGATTGGATATAAGGAGTGGGAAATAGTGAGGAGTCTAAGATGACACCTAGGTTGGGAGCCTAAGGGAGCAGGAGGAGGGTATTGTCCTCTACAGTAATAGCGAAAGTAGAGTGTTTAAGGGGAAAAATAACGGGTTCTGTTTTGGACATGTTGAGTTTAAGATATCTACTGAACATCC